TCTACCCCAGGCGATGGCCTGCTGCCATCTCTTTTTTTATCCCCGGTGATCCCTTCTTCCTTCTTAAAATCGACTGACTCGAATCTAAAAACCAGTCGCTTAGCTATTGTGGAGAATATATCGTGATCCCGTGCGACACGTACTACGTACGACAAATTCACACGCATGGACCTCGACGAAACAGTCGTGGAAGTGGAGCCGAATGAGCTCGGCGGCAACGCCGGGGTCGTTGGCGAAGGCCGCCATGACGGCCTGCCGGACGATGGCCTCGGCGTTGGGGCAGGTGGTGCTGTAAAAACCCACCTGCAGCTGCCCCTGCGCGCGGCTCGTCGTCAGGCACAGCACGGCGGTGACCAACGCCGCCATGCCCGCCATGCTGCTCCTGCTCGCCATGATCGTACGTCCTGGCTGGTCAGCCTTTAGCAGTGGAGTATTTATAGAGCGAGTCAGCCAGGGGTTCGAGTGCTGAATGATCGATTCGTGCAGTGCTACACACGGTGCGTCGACGACGACAACGAAAAGGAATAGTCGGAAAACAACTAAAAAAACTAATAAAATTTTGGATTAGTTTTGACAATGCAGAAGATCTCCGAAAACAACTAAAAAGAAACTAATCTACTCCCGGTCGGAGGTGAGGTTGATGACCCCCGCACAGGAGCCCTCGGCCTCGTTGTCGTTGGCGGTCAGAGCCATATGCCTCTTTTGCATCGTTGTCATGCTAATGCGGCGCCTCATCATCCTTAGCATTGAGCTTCTCAAAAAGTTACTTCCATAGCGCGTTGTTGGTGCGGAGCTGGCGGCGCTCATGGTAAATCATACGGGTGCTCTACAAGGGCACGAACACAACCGTGTTCTTGTCGACGACATACGGGTTGAACTGCTCAAAGTGTCTAAACCGTTCGATTCGAACATTTGAGACTTATTTGAAGGTCCTCATTGGACATGACCTTATTCGGCAAACCGGTATTTTGTCCTCTAACAGGTTTGGTACACGTGCAATGTCAAATTTGCTCCTCAAATACAGTTGACCTGAACCGACCCCTTGTTCCCCCTTATGGTGGGGCAACCTCTCCATGGCGGTCATTCATCGCTCTTTTACTTCCATGTATTTGACATGCTTTCCTCTCTCATCTTCAGCTTGGTCGCATCGTTGATGGTTATGACCTGCGTGAGAATGGTGGCCATGGAGGTTAGGTCTTTGCTCAAGCAAATCAAAAGGGTCGCGGTATCAAGTCGACCGTCATAATAACCACCAATATGGTGATCTGGGCCCAAAATGGCACTCTAACAGAGTCGCCATATGCATCTCAATCAGACATAAGTTTTGGAGCCGATGCCATATCTAGCCCACGAGCCTCTATATTTGGAGGCCGTGGCTGTTGGTTTGGAGCACGGGGAAAGGAAGTTTCAATCCGACATGTTCTTCCTGGGCACATCCAAGCCAATGCCGCTCCATTCGTACGGTTGCCATTTCCTCCATGCCAATGTTGTAGCTGCTTATCCACCAGGAAGTCCCGCTAATTAATGGCTACTTTCACGTTTCACACTGGTTTCCCACCCACACAGGACAACCCCCTGTTTCCTCACAGGGGTGCGTCCATTCGCGAATATATAAACCCTCACAGAAGCATAACTGTGCTTTTCATTTCCCGAGAAGCACAACTTGTGATTCACGTGGAACAACTTTGCTTTTTCATTTTTCGACAAGCACATTTTTTGCTTCACACGGGAAGCACAATTTTTTTCGCATGATACACAACTGTGTTTTTTAATTTTTGGGATGCATAGTTTCTTTCACATGGTGTGCTTCATCGATGAAAACTATAAAAACCAAAAAATCATTTTCCCGAAAAATATAGAAAAAAGCAAGTGAATTCCGAAACCCAAAAAACAGTGGAAAAAAAATCCTTGGCAAAACCGTGCAGGAAAAAACTGGGTTCCCGCGGTGTCCCCAACACGCAATACGTCACGGCTGAAGCGCACGCGCGCGTCCGCTAGGAAGCCCCCGAGGGGATATCCGTGGACAAGTTAGTCCCTGTTTTGGCAAGCAACCAAATATTAGCCAAAATATTGGCATTCAACCAAAGCAGGGCCATTTGTATTGGGAGCTCCTGTATGATGTTCATTGTGCAAACAGTCGGCCTTCCGCACACGGAGTGCCCTGATTGAGCCGGCCCATAATAGCTACTGTGGTGGTTAGTTTTTTTAGTTCGGCTTAAAAAAGCATGGTTTTTTTAGAAAAAGTGCATACAGTTTTTTAAACCACATATTAGAAATTTGGAACATTTTTTAATTAATTTTGAAATTTGGGGACATTTGTTTTAAAAAGTATTGTTTTTTGAATTACTGAACAATTTTGAAAATGGGAACAAATTTTGGAATTCCGAAGCAAACTTGAAAGCATGATTTTTTTGAAATTCCTATTTTCTTTGAATTTATGAAAATAAAAAAGCAAAAAGAAAAAATAGAAAAAGAAAAAAGGCATTTTTAAAAAAAGCCCGGTGCTAATGTTTAGCACATGCCAACCCGGGGGATGCAGTTGCGCTATTTATTTTACGACTGTGCCCTCATAGGGGATCTTTTCGCTGCATTTATTTTGGTCCGTGCGCACTTATCGGTGGGTCACGGCTGGGCTCGGAGGCCATCTTTTCGTCCGTGCGCACCTTTTGATGCTGGGTCACGGGTTGGGCTCGGCGGCCTCTTTTATTTGTGCAACAATTTGGCATCTTTATCAGCTGACAGCCGTGCATGATCCCGTGTTGGCGATGCAGTTAGTAGAATTCGGCCTAATAAACCGATCACTTCCTGATTAAACTTTCGGTACGGTACTATTCGCGTTCACCCGGTGGATTTCTCGTCCCGCAAAGGGGCCGGCCCATTTACTAGCTAGGTGCGTTGCCTCCTCTCCTTCCCGAGCCCCGAAGACGCCTTCGGCCTTCCCACTCGCCGCCGGCGCCGCCACCGGGGTTGACGCCGCTCGGAGTCTTTGACAGCCCACAGACTCTGCTCATCCCCTCATCCGCCATGTGTTCGCCGCCTTCCCCGAAACCCTATCCCCCCAGCCGTGCCCGAGCTCTGGTGGCCTTGAAGGCGTCGCGTGCGCCCGCGGCGGCTCTCTCGTCGCCGCCGCCGCCGCCGCCGCCGGGACCTAGGGTTAGGGCATCCGTGCTTTGTGCCCCGCGTCTGGAGGCCCTGTCCTTCAGCAGAACGCCGGAGCTGGCCACCGTACAGGTGAGGCTCGGTCCAATCCATCCCTAATGTCAAACCGTACCTGCTTCGATCTGATTTTCCGGACGAATTTGCTCCTGAACTGTCAGGTGTGCATGCCCTGTTCGAGCATACTCTTTCCTCATGTGTACGAGAGGGGTAGCGAGATGTCGTGCTAAACACACCACAAATATATTTGAGCATTAACAAAGAAACGAGCGGCGGAGAGATATTATGATTTAGGAGTAGGGTATGCACCATAATGTGATTGTTCAGTGTGCAAGTGTCGCGTCGATGTTCCTAGTCACTGCCATAAACAACGAACCGCATGATCGCAACCAGGTTCCTGTACAACTATGTGAAGGATCTGGTAGTATTGCATACCTGGTCAATTTTGATGCTCCTGTGTTTAGTACTCTCTTTCTAGGCTTTGCTCTTAATTTAGAATAACAGGTTAGTGAAGCCGAAAGTACTGTATTCTAGGGAGTAGAGATGAATTAATTTTGTTAATAATGTACTTGCTCTTGCAAACACCCTAGCTCTTTGAATTGGTCATTTCGTTAGGTTTTACTCCCTCCGTTCCTAAATGTAAGTCTTTGTAGAGATTTCAATATGAACCACATACGGATGTGCATCGATGTATTTTAAGTTTAGATTCATTCATTTTGCTCCGTATGTAGCCCACTTAGTGGAATCTCTACAAAGACTTACATTTAGGAACGGAGGGAGTAGTTCCTAACTATATAAAATACATCTTTTTATTTATTCTGTTAATTCCACGGTTTATGCCCAACCTGGCTAGTTGGAGAGGAAAAAGGGAAATATAAATCAATTATGTAATGATACTCTCTTCATTATTATCTTTAAAGGCCTGTTTTCTACACAACTCAGGAAAAATTTCTGTAGTATGCTTACTGTTTATATTTTCGGAAAATGGTGATCCTTCTCTTGACATTTTCTCATGTTCTGCCAAGCTGTTACTGATGGCCTGGTGATTCTGTAGTTACGAGAAGTCCGTGCACTGTAGTAAATGTTTAATCTGCTTGAGGTTTCGTTTGCTACATTTTCTCACCAAGCAGTGGACTTTATTTTAGGCAAGTTAAAATTCTGCTGCCATACTGTTATTGAAGCTGACCATTGATCTAATCTGGCTATGTGCAATGAAATAAGCTCTTCAGAAATTTGCCTATTAACTTGTTAACATGTCTGATTTCAAATATTGGTTTACTTATCATGTGTGACCACATTTTTTAAATCTTTGCAAGACTCAGTTGTGATTACTGAAGTGCACATTTAATCTCCCCTGATATATTTGATTGTCTTTTCGTTTTCCTTACCAATGAAGTAGCGTTATCCTTCATGTACCAAGGTACTCCCTCCGTAAAGAAATATAAGAGTGTTCAGATCACTACTTTTGTGATCTGAACGCTCTTATATTTCTTTATGGAGGGAGTAAGTCATTGTGACTTCCTGGATGCAATTTCCTGCTCTCTTTTTAACCATAGTTGTGTGAAATAACCATATATATATGGCTCCTGCTTTGTAACCATAGTTGCCATTTGGTAGTTTGTAATGCTGTAGTTGTGTGAAATAAAATTCAGAGCTGGCACCATTTTATACTTCTATTTGCAGCAATTTTCTGTTCTAGTGGCTAGTATTTAATTAGGATGTGATCTGTTTTGCTGTGTGTTTGTAGTTTATAATCCTTATAGGATAGCCATGACTTAGACTTAGATTTTTTTTGATATCCAAACTTTTCTAAGTTGAAAAGAACTGGAATTACACTAATTGAAAGTCTAGATAGATGCTAAGACTTGAGCATGAATTAGGTGCTGGATATATACTAATCAAACAGGAAAAAAGGGCATTGCTATTATTTAAATGCTAGGGTTTTGCTGTGAGTAGTGAAGAAATGCAAGACTAACCACTTTAAATGCTAGCTATGGCTTGCTTTATTAATCCTCAAAATCAACAAAGTTATCTGTGTCAATGGGAACCGATGTAATTACGAGCATGGGAGCAAGCATCAGTTCCTAGCTTGTTTTTTCGCAAGAATCCCGAGTATGTTTTCAGCTTCTAGTTTCCTCTGAATCCTAGAGAGATAAAATATGTTTCCTGTTTTCTTTACCTGATCGCATTTTATAATCTCAGATAGGTAA